CAGACAACGTAACTATACTAGGTAGACTAAAAACAGTAATAACAAACGAGTTACTACTTTCGTGCGAAGAACATAGTGTTGCAATTCAATAAATCCTAGACCCTGCAGAAAAACAAACACGCACGCTCCCACATCGTTGCTTCTATTCGTAGCCTATTTAACCGTCGAAAATACTCGGGATAAAAAGGACCTGCATGAGCGTCCTTAACGGAGCTTGATATACTTTACTAACCAAGCGTCTTATTTTCATCTCCGTTGTGTAACGTCTTGGCTTACCGTGCATGAGTTGTAAGCAGCTGCCAGTAAGCAGGGTTTCATACTATGTACTCCGTACACTGGAGCGATATGTAAGTATTTGTTGGCGTTGATATGACGCAAGGATAGTAGTTGCATTGCTACAGCGGCAGTGGATAGGTTGCATGTGGTATGGGGTTAAGTGTGTTTTTTTTTCTTTTTTTTTTGGTGGGGGGGGGGGCGCGCACCTAGTTATATCATGGTATGCTTCGTTACTACGTGTATCCACCATGGGGTGTTGTAGTATATTTCCTTTACATATATACGTCCATCGTCTTGAAGGCGGGAATGCCGGTAGTCTATGGTGATGACTTCTAGAATGCATTGCAACCCTCTCTCTGTATGCCGTGCGGCTCTATATTCTAACCTAGATGCTAGAGATACTAGAGCTTTCTCGTGGGCTATGTCCCCGTCTACCACGTGAGTAGTTCTTCTCCTCACAAGCCTTGCGGTAATATACCAAGTCTCAAGTCTACCACCACCATCATAATCGCCCCGAACTAACCACCTACCCACGACAAGTCCCGTCCCGTCGTTCTTGGTGCTACTAGATTCCCGCGCCTACAACGCCCCCCCACGCCTGGAACATCTTTCAACCTGCATTACGTCTTATGAGTGAAGCATAAACATGTCCGGGTCTGAGTGCCTGAGTTAGCTAGCTTGGTGTTAGTTTTGGTTGCCGATAGATGGTAAATTGAACCACCACCAATGAACAGGAGTCAGCAAAAGCGATATTAAACGCTCTGTACGAAGTGCTCTGCTGACTAACTGTAACAGTGTAACGTTTTACGTGGGGCGAAGATGGTATGGGGGACACCAATTTCGCGTGGCAGAACTTCTAGTCCTAGAGGCTTTCGTACCAACTCTTCAACATTTGTCTGCGACACGATGTAGACTCTTGCGTGACGTCAGACCTATTAATCACTCTCATCTTCTGCCATCCAATGACACCTCGGATGTCACATCGTAATTTTAGGCGGATATTATGAACCCAGATTGAGTTTACGATGGAAGAAAATTGCGATTGAGGCTAGGAGTGACGCAAGGATCCATGCTAAAATATGTCGTAGCCTTTCCGCGATTAAGATGATAAGTCGTGATGTTACGTTCTACCACGATGATCGACGAGACACGTGTCCATGCACCGTGGCATCGAAAAGCTTAGGTGTTCGAGATCGCCTTGTATTCTAATAGTCTATGTAGCAGCCGTCCGACTAAGCGTTATTATAAGCATTACAATTACAAGCAGGCTCTGGCGAGTCCTGTAGGTCACACTATATGCCCTAGCCGACCACCTAGCTAGAGGCAGAGATGAAGTGTCACTCTGCCGCCTAAGTACTCCAAGAGCAGTGGCTAAGTTGCAGCCGAAGTCCACCCTTTTACGCTTTCCAATATTTCTTCCGGCTCGTGATCCTTTCGACCCCCCGGCAAAACCTCCTGCTCCTTTGACAGGCGCTCTAGCTCCTCGTCCCGGGCTAGTGACTTTGTCTGCTCCGATCCTCTCGTCTCGACCACCCCATCGAGTCCTCCTGCTCCCACTCCCTTGACTGTTCTACCGAAAGCTCCAATTCCCAGATAGGCGAGTCTATACACGACTCTGGATCCCATTAAAGAGAAATCTACTTTCTACGGGAATCGTCTACGTACATTGGTCATCCTCATCCTACCTATAACATTCAAGTACCATGCTTTAATCCAGGCCTTGGATTTCATTCCTTTCTGTAGTTCCTAAGCTTCTACAGCCTTCTACAGCTACCCACTGAGTTGTGGTGATGAACTTGCTGTAGAGGTGAGACATTTCGAGATCGTTTTTGGCCACCCACTCCAGGTAAGGAAACCATCTAGGTTAAGGTATCAGAACACTGATATGCCACACATTGAGCAAGCGCGACAGTTAGGTACAAAGGCTCCACCGGGACCTCACGCACCAGCTCCAATTTAACACGGCCCCCCATATAGAACCTTGACAATGTGCCTTCATTTTGGCACTTTCCACCCGCCTTACCCGTCCTACGCATACCTCACGCAATCCACACGCCACCGTTCGAGTGATCGATAGACAATTTCGAATGTTGTGCTTCCGTGAGCACAAAATGGCCTAGCTAGCCATCCAGTAATATCTCTTCGAATATAGTATACGGGGTATTACGTTTGGTAAAAGGAAGACATTTATGAGTTTAGTCTGTGCGGATAACCTTACGCTTTTGTTTACACGACCACTGGAGCCGCAAGGCAACAGAAGGGCATCGATTGGACGTGCCGCGGTATTACATCACAGCTGGCTAGCCGACTCCTAACAGTAAACTTGAAAGCCACCTATCCTTGGGTCAACTGCCGGCTACGATCACCTCGATTTACCACGTAACTCGTGCTAAGAGGTGGTATAACACTGTCGTAAACATACTGTACGTATAGTTTTATTGAAGTCGGGGCCGTCTGTGAAAAAAACTTCGCGTGGATGGAAGCACGGCGTAGTCGGGTTGTTGTCTTTAGTGTACAGCCTGAGATGCTCTGCTATCCAATCCCAGTTAGAGCAGGATCTAAGAGAAAGGCCCGGATTACCCGTTAGAACGCCATCGGTAGATCCGAGCAATCGTATGGCCTCTCTACGTGGTATCTGGCAATAGACCAGGGGTCGCTTGGAAATTTGAATCGGAGATTTATATACAAACACTGCCCGAACGGCGGCGGATCCCCCGTCAAGGCGCCGTATACAAACCGTAGCGAAAGTCACCATCAGGCTAGCTACAGGTTCGGGACGTAAGCACTTAACCATTAATTACTCAGAAGGTCTCGAAAAGATGACAGCTCCTCTACCATAAACCCATCATCACTGGAGAGAGTCTGAGTTTATGTCTACATCACATAAGGTAACCTTTCTAGAATAGTTTAGTTTTTAACTTCAACCTTGGGTATTTATATGTCTCCTCGCAAAGAGTAGTACAATACCCCTGAGACATCCTCGGCCTGATCGGAGGTAGCGGTCCAACATTCTAATCCCGAGGGAAAGTCCGAGGGGTTCAGCTTGGATTATAGGTGAGCCCTTCGATCGAGCAATCAGGGTTGTCTCTCCTACCAATCTTGGATGTCGTTGCTGACCCGATTCAGGGCCGACTTCGTTTCGGCTTGGGGAGGGGATTGGGGGCGCCCGGATCGCGACTCTAAATGCTCCAAAGCTAACTTGTGCTTAGATCGTCGCCGAGTCCATATTGCTCTCCCACAAAGCTTTAGCTAGCTGAGTCACTGTCTTTGCACAGAAGGTTGCTAAGTGTAGTTAGTAGTACTTTTATGTTTAAACGTGATTAAGATATAACTACGTGTAGCTTCTTGTCTTATAACCTAACCTTTGTTAATTCCGGTCATAGTCCTTCCTACCAGGTGGTACTATTCTTGACTATTTTTAGTAGCTTCACTCATCATGATAGGGGTAAGGGGTTGCCTCTTAAAACTGCGACGATGATATATCGGAATCTCTCCCATGAATTGAATTGGGATGGCATCTTTATACTGTGTGCTGCGCCTGCCTACAGCCCTGCTATGAGATACCATATCATATATTGGGGTTATAGTAGACGTCTTGGAGCAGTTTAGGTGGGTCTCTAGTCTGTACTGCAAATTATTACCCCATGATTAGTTGGTTCTGGCTGCAAGAACCTGTGTCTTGTTGCTGCCCTGCGTAGAAGATTCTATTTCTATTCTGCCTGCTCCCTTAGACGAAGGGAACTTTTGTATATGCAAGAGTAATGTGTCCAGGCTATTAGGTAGGTAGAAGGAGTTAGTTCGATAGTTCAATCACAACGCTCACTCCAAAGTCTCGTCCATTAATGGGGACGTTCATCCGTGACTAGGAATCACCCTGAATCAGCTTTAGGACACCATCCTTCAGAAAAGCCCGTATAAGTCTTCAAGGGTTTCTTCACCGTGAGACCCGGTATTGTCCCTCTATAAGACCTAAAGCTTAAACCCTGCTTCGTGTTGGTGGCGTGTCTGGTCAGCTGTGAATTCCACTCAGCAGCCAAACCCAGCATCAGCTGATCGAACCAGGTTGAGGACAACTGGTACCACATAGGTAAAACGTCTTAAAGGTCCCTTTGTATCCTGCCTTCATAACCTACTTTTGATCGGCATGGTTATACTTGATATAGCTGTTGATTTCGCTGTTAATTTTGGTCTTAATTTGACTTTCTTGGTAAGGCGGACTTAGGAGCAGTATTATATAGTATGATACCCTCTCTAGCCACAATGGTCGCAAGAGGAGACTTTAGGGCAATCAATAACGGTATGGCCATACTTTTAGAGGTAGCAACATGGACACCTAGGACACCCGGACCATTTTCTCCCGTGTCAGCCGCCACCATTGTGTATAGCATCGAGATACGAAATGATGTAAACAAGTAGCTCGAGCCAGCCGGGTATTTTCTACAGAGAGCCGGGAGTGCGGATCGTCGGTTGCGACCGAATACGTATTGTAGTAGATTGATTATGCTTGTGTATATTCTAGAGAAATGGACTTACTTCAGGAAGCAAAGGAAGAAAACCATCCTGTACAATGGCTCCTACGATATACATATGTGTCTATCTACCACTGCGTGAGACTAGTCTCAGCCTACCCGCTTGGGGTGCCTGATGTGCTTTGTGAATATAAGCCGTCAGAAACGACTGAATCCACAAGCAAGGCCTTCGGTGATAAACCGGGGTCTGTCTAAGCCCGGCTGGCGCAATGGCTAGCGCATACGACTTCTAATCGTAAGGTTGTGGGTTCGAGCCCCACGTCGGGTTGTTGATCTGAATTAATATATTCCATCTTTTTCCCCAAAAGAAAAAGAAGTTGTATTTTTATTGAACACAATAAATAACATAGCTTTCTCACATTAACCTTTTCGTTCAACTAAAACTAAATATAATTTTTTAAAAAGTTTAATACGACGAACCCATCTATGGGAAAAAGAGAAACTTAGCCGCTGCGAAGAGAGGGCGGTTAGGGGCAGCAGAGCACTCCATACCGGATATTCACTCAGTCGTGCAAAGACCCTCTGAAGAAACACACAAAGTCTACACAATGCACTGATGGCACCAAGGTTCTTTTGCAATACGGCGTAGTGTACAAAGGGGTGGCATTGGGCTGTGCTCATACTCCCTCAGTATATCGATGTGGAAGTTATGTGTACTGTATCTACTTGACGGCGAGTGCGTGATATTGCACGGCTACATAACCAAATCATGAATGGCGCAGCAAAGCCGATACGGTTCGCACACTCTGATGCTCTAGGTCGATACGATGCCGCCTCCTGTATCTAGGTTAGCCAAATTAGATGAGCCCCCTTTCTATTACGCGGTCGGGTTCTCGGCCCGTAGGTCGATTATACTATTTGCGGCCTCATAGCCGACTCCCTTTTATAGTTACAAGCCGCGGTAGGGACGCAACAATACGGAGGCTCGTCCACGTCGATAGGACGTAGTGAATCTATGCCGGCTTGCCATCGCGTTAAAGGGGGCAACGCTCAATAGAAAGGGCGATCCGCACGCTTCCATTATAATATGCGATCGTGTTAATAGGTGTATGTAGAATGGGTTTATCACCGGGGGGAGCACGTATTTTGGACGCGTTGATGGGACGGAATACGATATGTTAACGTACGAGTTGCGGCGGCTTTTCTCACTTGTAGCCTCTGTGGGCGCGGCAAGTATCTGGCACGGTCGCCGTCGCGGGTTGTAGTGGTGGGTTTACACTCGAACGATCTCGGCGTGATTTCGGTGAAGGGGCTTGTATGTGTTGCTACTATGTCTTAGATCTTGCTTCGGTCCGGGCCCGGCTTCAGAGAACCCGGCGGCACGGCTGGGTGGCTGGTTGCTGTCCCCTTTTGGTAGTCTAGGCATTCGGATCGTAGTTGAGAAGGCGGCTGCTGCGACGCGTGAGATGTTAAGGTGGATGTTGGTTCGCGTCAAGCCCGCTGTTCGTTCACGCCAGGCACTAGAGGCTATCGTCCCTGGGGTCTAGGACGTGGTCGTGTAACGCCTTGTTCGTGTTTTCTGCCGTGGACCCGGACCAGAGCGGCCTTCAGGTCTCTCTGATCTGATCTCATCGTCGGGGAGTAGGGTCATACTGTCGAGTCGGGGGTGGTGATGTTTGAGATCATGTTGTACCACGCCGGCGCGTTGTAGAGGCTACTATAAGGCTCCCCGGGCGTATACGCGAGATATTCCGAAACGGGGATACGAGGAGCTGGATGTTTCGTCCTGTATTATAGCTCGGGATCAACGTGGTCCATCTCGACCGTAGTCTATCAAAAGGGGTAATGCTACCATAGTTAGTGGCGAACAGTGACTTAGAGACGCGGTCCTATGGCGTTAATTTTCGTGATGAAAACACTCGATACTTTGCCTAGAGTTGTTGTTGTTCTTAGTATACGTGCCCGATGTAACCACGCGAAGGGCTTTATAGGGGTAGTAGAAGGCTTGCTCAGGGGCTCACGTCTAGACACTTCTGAGGTGCTACAACTCAAAAAAGCGGTAAGAGGAAGTACTACGTGCGGTAAGCGGGATCATTACATTATGCAATATATCGCTATTATGAACAACACTGAAAACTCTGGTTCGTTGCCCAAGGAATGGGTTGGGGGCCGAAGTCATCAAATTTTAAATACCAATATCGCCGATACAACGTACAATTTCGGAAATGAGGATTACTCGTTTACTAGTATAAGGCTTCCTACGGTACAACTGTGCACAAGCCTTGTCCGGGCGGACGTGCGGTCATCGAAGGGGACGGGTAATCAGTCTCGAGGGACACCGCGTCCGGAACGGTCGAACGACGAATGCAAGACTTCCTAATATAGCCCGACTACGACGTGCCTAATCACCCTAGTGCTAACGGTGATGGCCTATCCGGGCAGGGAGGTTGGTTAGGAAGGCTGGCACTCCGTTGGGCGCCCACTTTCGGGTCAGCCCAAGAAGGCCATGTTGGGATGGGATGCTGGGGGTAGACCTAGTAGGTAGGTTGCCTTGTTTACTAGGTAGCCTGGCAGTGGGTACTAACATGTTAAGCTGGTGTAGTTCGCGAGCGTTAGTACCGACAGTTCGGTAACGAATGACGGTTCGTTTGCAGGGTCCTTGGATGGAAGTACCGGCTAAGTATTCCAATGTATCTTTGATTACGCCCACAGCGTCTAGGTAGGAGATACCGGTATACACCAGTATGAAACGGCCGGCAACACGGCCGCCTCCCATGTGGTTTTGTTTTCTTCACCTGGAACCTGGTCAGTGGCATCTCAACGTAAACCAAACAAACAGTAAGAGACCTAGGACTCGAGTCTTGCGTATTACGATGTGCATATGGCCCTGTCGGCCTCGACGTCGGTAGGCGGCACGCAAAGGGCGACACCGGAAGGCTGCAACGGTTAGCGAAATGCCGATGCTCGCAGTAAGACTCCTCTCCCATACCTAATATTGGCTCCATATCCATATAGTAGCAGCAAACTATTACCTGGGTTACGGAATGGGAGTCAGGTTCGGCCCCCATGAGGACCTCTCACATAATTTCAATGCGACCACCCTATCTCAGGGATGTAACACTGAGGCTCAAATAGGGAGTAAGGAGCAGGGCGTAAGGGTTTTTCCACATTAGGTGTTCTTGGCGCTACGTCCCGCTCGCATGACTCTGTACGCTTTTGAATAGGATACGGTCCTGAAAGGTATGGGGTGATACTACTGGAGGAAAATGAGAAAGCGAGTCGGCCTCCACCCTGCTTGCTACCAAGGGTGGTTGTTGTTGTTGTCAACGCTACAAACAGCGCGGTAACGGGGGACGGCAAGCGACTATTAGCCGTCTACGATATTCGTCTGAACTCTTTTTTGTTTTTGTTTTTTTGTTTTTTTTTTTTTAAAAAAAAAAAAGAAAAAGGAACCGAGACACATGACAGCTCCGGGAGTTACTGGGTCGGGCAAGTCGAGAAGAATAGTATGCGGCAGGCGACTCAATTGGGAGGTGGTCTGTCGAGATGAAGACGTCGGACGAAGCTTGTTAGCGAGACAACATGCAAGACACGCCGTATATGGTTAGTAGATCGTAGAGCAACTTCCACAGAGAGGAGGTTGGCTCCTGCACAATAGATTGCGGTTCATGTTGCGAGAGGGGATGGGGGATGAGTTGGCATTCGCCCGTCCCCCTTTGCTGTCCCCCTCTGCTGTCCCCCTTTGCATAATGTTAGTCTGTTAGACAGATCATGTATACAGGTACCGAGGAGCAGTGTAGGTGGTCGTGATGTGGTGCTTGGTCAACAGGCCAATCATCTTGTGACCGTCTACCATCCACTGTTACCTACTTAGTAGGTTAGGTGGGAGATGGGAGATGGGTAAGATATAGCGACTATAGAAGGTATACTATCTTGCCTGGTAGTGGCTAGAAGGCCACTACCAGGTAGGTATAGTCGCGCCGTGCTGCGAGTGATGCAGATACTCCACTGTGCTGGCTCCCGCTGTTGCCGCCGCATGCTAGCTGGGTTCCGGCTGGGTTGTGCCCGGGGGGGGGGGGGGGGGCGCCACTGCTGGGGGATCCCCTGGTCTGCTTGGCGGAGTGGATGGGCAGTATGGGGTAGCGTAACACTCACTACCTTAGGTAGGTAGGAGTACCTAGGTGGAATTTAGATTAGTGGCGTTCGCGCTACTGCCCTCTTGCGGCCTGTGCTGGACTCCTACTATAGTAAGTACGTGTAGGTAGGTACCTGGGTACTTGGCTACTTAGGTACTTACGGAACAGAGCCGCACACACACGCGCGCACACGAAGAAGGGTACCTACCTAAGACACACCACACTTACTTGACCGTGTACGAAGTAGGAAATAGATGCGTATAATCAGTGGCCGGCCCCGGTTCTCCGAATGCATTCTGAGATGCCGGTAAATAAAGGCACCAAATCCCGGAGTGGGTTCCTGAACCGACGCGAAGCAACCCGTCCGTCCTCTCGGGACCCCCCCTAACCAGACACAACTGGACTGCTACCAAGCTAGTCTATCTCAGAACAATTACTTGTCTACAAACATCATTCGGGGTGGCTCCTTTTCGGCCGTCTATTTGTATTTCTCGCAATTAGCCCGTTCTCTCACTGTAAAGGCTCCGTACTTGCTGGGCTTCAACGACATTACGCCAAACTTCAAGTGGAATATACCTTCCAATAACTTGGGTGTATATGCCAAAGGTACACCAAAAGAATCTAAAATCAATACAGTAACCCTCGGCTACGAATTCAGATGCATACCTCAGCACCGGGCGTACCGGTAAATCTAAGTCAACCCCAGACTACCCCTTGGTCTGCCGCCGAGTATCACGATACAGGAGATCAACGCCCTACGCGCGGAGACACCCCTTCCTATTGAGGACATAAATGCACCCTGCACTCCTAGGATCAAGCGATGTAAAGCGATTTTGTGTGTATCGAGCTTTGACTTGTCTTTGTGCTGAACACTGCTGTTTTGATTGTTGGCCTCGTGATGCTCTAGTCCCCTGTCGCTCCACTCGTGGACGCCCGGACATGTTCATTAATATATAGGGTAGCAACAAGAGCTCTGTTTCGCAGCCACAGAAATTACTCTGTGACGATTCTGTATTTTTTCGAATATGTCTTCCTCTACCGGGGCCTTGGTATAGGGATACGTTGAATATTTGTTGTTGTGCGAAGAGCTTACACTAACTAATTAGGGGCCTATTACTGGAACCACAATACCACCTTTGCTCCAGAAAGGTGCGGCATTCTCCCCAATTATATAATTCATTCGCTTTATTCC